GATCCAGCGCTTCCCAGTCCAAGGCTGCCTCCCACCGTGCCCTGCCAAGAAGTTTTTTGGAGATGCGGCCTATGATTTCTTCACACCGACGGCTATCTACCTTCGACCTGGCGAGCGCTGCACTATGCACACTGGCGTTGCTTGCCACTTTCCCCATGGCAAGTGGCTTCTTCTCAAGGAGAAATCGGGCCTTGCTCATCGGTATGGTCTCCAGTAGAGGTGGCCACCCGGATCCGTTAATAGCGGACAGAGGTTAATTTCCGTTAATTTTCCGTTAATTAACGGAAAATAACGAAAAAAGACAAAAATTAACCAAAAATTAACGGATTTTTGGAATTTTTGGGGATTTTGGGTTTTAATCATACTTATAGTTTATGGAATTCGCTATTAGAGGGTATGTTTGTATTTTATTTCAATCTATGCATACTAGATTTTCAACTAGCCGCAGTTGTTGTGATTTTTTGGGTTTTTTTTCGATTTTTTTGGATTTTTTCCTTTTTTTCTGAATTTTTCTCCCTTTTTCTTTAACGAAATTTAACGGACAGCTGATAAAAATTAACGAACCGGATTTAACGGACCGGATGGCACCCTTAAATGGCCACCTCTAGTCTCCAGCTCTTGGGCGGAGTTGTTGACGGCAATTATCGTGGCCATCTTAAGGCGATCTTACTTAACATAGGCTCTGACCCAGTGACTGTGCCATGCTGCCTTCTGTCGAGGCATTCTTTTGCCTGGTTCTTTTGCCCGTGTTGTTCCTGGCACCGTTCGTGTGGCGGGAGAGCGAGGTGACACTGGGGGCGTCAATCGAGTAATGTTGGGAAACGGGGGATGGCGCGGCCTGGGGACGGCTATGGGCCGCGGCTAAGTTCTTTTCAATCGTCACAGGTAGGCGTAGGGGGTAGCGTGGGGGACAACCAAAGTCATGGGTTTTTTCTAGACTTTGCTGAACAACCTCTTTACCTGCCTTACTGGAAAAATGGTCTTCTCTTCTTGCCACTCAACCGTAGTGTGGTGTTAGGCCCTTATGCCACCTGAGGAATTAATGTACCTTGCCAATTTCCGGCCGGTGCATTGCAAGAACGTTTTGTGGCTCTCCCCAACCGTCATGTCACCTTTATTCTCAAAACTGATGGGGTTCGGGTTTGGGGTGCTCCCAAGAATTTTTCTGCAGAGCCACAACATTTAATGCCTCACTATGATTTACTGGCTTGCCACACCTCCGTTCAGTCGTTTCGAGTTCCGGACAAGGGGGTAGTTTTGATTCCTGAGGGTCGTAAGGGACATGGGTTCTGTCAGCTTGCTGGGGGATCTTTTAGAGCTGCCATTCGGCCTTCTGGGGCACGGCCTGCTTGGGTAGACGCTTTGCGCTCTAAATATACTGAGGTTTTCAAGGCTGGTCTCGGTACTTGTCATACGTACATGGTTCACAGATTTCCTTTTCGCTTTCCTCTCCCTTGGAAATCGCAGTCTCACAGCCCGATAACAGGCCCGGCTGAGGAGGGCAAAGTGTTGGAGGAAGTTTTAAAGTTGGTGAAATTGGGCGCCGTGCATGAGGTAGACCATGAACCTTATGTTATTCCAGCCTTCGGCGTACCCAAGAAAAATGGCACTACACGGCTTGTCTTGGATTTCAGGAAATTTAATTCTTGCGTTCAGCACCAGCCGTTCCTTCCTATGCACCGTGAGATGTCGCTGGCTTCTTTTCGACCTTTTCGTATTGGCTCTTTATTAGATCTTTCCAATGCCTATCTGCAAGTGCGGCTAGCTCCTAGGTTGTGGTGGGTTGTGGGTTCAGCCATAGCGGGGAGGTTCTTTGAGTATATGCATTTGCCTTTCGGATATTCCAACAGCTCACATGAATTTCTGTGAGCATTGTGGCCGACTGTTTGATGGGTTTCACGACGCTTACACTCTCAAATCATTTTGTATATGGATGAGATTCTTTTGCTTTCTCAGTCTAAGACCCAACACCAGCGGGACTTGGAGATTTTATTAGAGGAGTTACAACGGGATGGGCGGCGTGTCAATTGGGATAAGTGCTAGTTTTGCAGAGACCACTTTGAGTACCTGGGGGTTTCCTTAACTTCTCATGGGTTGGAACCTACTGACTCTGTCTTAACTCAGTTTGCGCAGGCACCGATGCCTACGACTCGGTCTGGTTGGCGCAAGATCCGTGGTTGGTTGAACCATTCTCCTCGTTTCATTTGGCGAGGACATTTGGTGTTAGTAGCTTTGAGGGAAGTGCAAGCACACCCTTCCTTGGACTGATTGCGGCATTTTTTTTCTCTGTTGCACTGCCATTTTGTTCGGTGTGCTATCCCCTCCTTCACTTTTGCCGGGTCCTTTACCGTGATTATGGATGCGAGTAAGATTGGTTGGGGTGCAGTGTTACTTTCGGGGCACCAAATTGTTCGTTGTGCACATAGTCTGTGGTCTGCGGGGTTTCGCCACCATATTAGCAATATCTTGGAGTTAGAGGTACTTTGCAAAGCACTTCAGACGTTTCGGCCATGGATTTTTGGTGCCCCCGTACATGCTATCATGGACAACCAGGCCGTTGTGAGTTTCAATTATCCGGCAAATCTCAGTGATTTTTTGAAGCGCTATTTGGAACTTCTCTCTTGGTACTCTCCTCACATTTCATTTTGCCCAGGGTCATTTAATTATTTAGTAGATTTCTTGTCTAGACAGGGGCCTTGGATTCAGGTACCTTCACATGTTCGCGCAGTGGAAGAACAACGCGCCGCAGTTATTTCCCAGGCACAATGGAAGCAGGCCCATGCCGGGCATTTTGGAGTAAAGAAAACATATCTTCATTTTCGCCAAATGGGTCTGCGTCACACATGGCAGTGGGTGATGGATAGGGTGTAGTTGTGTAGAGAGTGCCAGTTGTTCCATTGACCACAACCGTCCAACCCATTTGGCGGTTGGTGAGTACCAGACAGGCCGGGACAAGTCATTGGCCTGGATTTTATGGGCCCTTTCCCCGAGAGGAAGTTAGGAAAAAAGCAATTTGTTCTCGTCATTGTGGACATGTTGACTAGACGAGCGGGGGCATGGGCAACAACGGGAGCGGGAAGGGCAGACATTGTACGGGGACTAAAGAAGTGGACAGAGACATGGGGAGTGCCTTCAGTCTTGTGTTCAGATGTTTGCAAGGCTGCACAGTCTAAAGAATTGCAAAGATGGTGTGCACAGGAGGGGGTGACACAAAAGTATTCTCCTCCCTATCATCACGCCTCTATTGGATTTGTGGAGCGGTTCAACCAGACTCTGTTGAACCGTTTGCGGCGGATGTGGGCACAGGAGCCCAAGTACTTTGCAAGGACAGTCGAGCGAGCGGTGGACATCTATAACAATACAACTCTCTCTTCGGTGGAAGAAAGCAAAGAGACACCTAACTCCTTTGTGTTCAGATCACCAGGTCAATTGTGGAATGGTTCACAGATTGTGTGGCATCGATTGCAAGAATACGGGCACCAGCAGCAAGCATAGGCAAACCATAAAACGAGGGGACGACGCATTCAGCAGACGTTCAAAGCAGGAGACTGAGTATGGTTGTGGAATACTAAGGCTGACACACTGAAGGACAAGCTTGAACCGTGGTGGAAGGGTCCAGGGCAGTTGATTCGCCCTATCACAATGTCAGTGTGGGAAGTTCGAGGGCCAGAGGGGAAACTCTGGGTTAGACACACGGATATGATTCGGCCATATCGAGATGGAGTTTAAAGGGATGATGTTTTAGGTCATGTTAAAGTTAGCACAGGGAAGCGTGTGAGGATGGGAGGATACACAAGTAATTGTGTAGAACATGGTCCTTTGATGGTGAATTCAATAAGGTGTTCAATATAGTGAAATTGGGAATGATTGAGTGGAGTATAGATGGGACACGCTTGCAATGAACACTACATGACTGACACAATCATTCTGTAATCCATCTGGTTGCGGCTTGCTCCCCGTGCCTGGGGGAGCGACTGTGCGCGGGTGTACGCACGGACGCGGACAACCTGATACAGCCTGACAATGATGATGATGATGATGATGAGAAGGGTTCTCGGAGCTAGAGGTGGCCACCCGGATCTGTTAATAGCGGACATAGGTTAATTTCCATTAATTTTCCGTTAATTAACGGAAAATAACAAAAAAAGACAAAAATTAACCAAAAATTAGCGGATTTTTGGATTTTTGGGGGATTTTTGGGTTTTAATCATACTTATGGTTTATGGAATTCGCTATTAGAGAGTATGTTTGTATTTTATTTCAACCTATGCATACTAGATTTTCAACTAGCCGCAGTTGTTGTGATTTTTTGGGGTTTTTTTCAATTTTTTTGGATTTTTTCGTTTTCTGCTTTAACAGAAATTTTAACGGACAGCTGGGCCAAATTAACGAACTGGTTCTTTGGACGGATGGCACCATAAATGACCACCTCTCTGTCTGCTGAACCCGATCTTTGGCCGTTAGGCTTCGACAGTGTTAAATGATGGCGTGCTGGCGCCAGCATGTCATGGCGAGGAGAGCCGCCGGCATACCGGGAGTGAGGGGGTGCAAAACAACCAGCGTTACTTGGGCGGCACTTCCGTGGCGCAACCGCATGTGAGACCTGCTCAATAACTTCCCGGTAGACTTCCCGGGGTGGTGTATGGGGACAGCTGAGACCGGCATTTGCCGGTTGTCTGCGATGCTGCCGACGTCAGCCAAACCCGGAGTTAAAGCGTGGCGAAGCCTGCGCAAGTGGAGTGTTCAGTTGCATGCATTTGTTAGTGTATTCTTAGCGCATTCGTGGAGCCCTTCGACACAGCGGCCCAACTTTTTGGCCTTTCTGGGTGGCCGCTTCTGGAGCGCTTGGCGCATTTAGCGTCCATTGAGTGCTGATCGTGCTAATTGAAATGCATATTTGAATCCGGTACACCACACAAGGCATGCATGTGCCTACACCTCTTTGAACGTGTCCCCGCTCCCCACCACAGCGGGTTCTGACATCGACTGCTGTTGTTGGGATGCTTCCCAGCTCGACCTGCCTGCGCCGCTCCTGGTCCGCGACGCTGTCCGCCCTCTCGCACCGCCCGGCGCTGGGGCGGGACTGCGCGCCGTCACCGTGGGCCCTGTCGCTGTTTGCCGGCCGATCGAGGTGCCGATCGGATTTGAGCGATGGCGCGGCCGCGGCGCGCCACGAGGGCGCCCTGCGGGCGGTGGCGCACGCCCGCGCGCAGGCTCCGGGGCTCGAGGAGGCGCCCACGGGAGATTGGCCCTCCAAGGTGATCGGACAGGTAGGGAGGATTTGAATCATCGGGGGCAAGGAAGGCGCCTTGGAAGCCAGGGAAAGTTCGGGCGTTGAGGAAGGCGGGCGATGGCGATTGGGTGCGGAGGCTTCGACATGTCGCGTGGTGTGGTTCCGGGATGGCATCTGGGAGGATGGAAGGAGGTCGGGCTGGGCTTGGTCGGCCGTAGGTAGCGGTCTTTTGTGGGGGAAGGCGCGGGCTCCTGCAAGTTTCGGCCTGATTGTGAGGCCCTGGAGCCCGCGCTGCCCGTTTTCGTTTCAGCCTGCAATAGATATGGTTTAGCGTGCAGTCTCTGTACGGAAAAGCGAGGGTGAAGGCACAAATCAAATTCAGTCTTGATGGAATGTGCGGTCCAAAACATCTTCAATTGATTGAATCGGATGTCAGAAAGGCTGATGAGCACTTGATGTGGGTGTGGCAAGAGTAAAGGAGACACCATCTTGAACATCGGACGTAGCCAAATTCTTGTTGTGCAACATCGATTCGAGCCAAATGGAGCCTGAGCACCTATGGCACATAATGCTACCACAAAGAACCCAGGTGTTGATGCATCATGACATCGACTCTGCAGGTGATGAGCGCCGAGGCCAACTTTGTACGAGTCAAGATTCTGCAGATGGGAGAAGAAGGAGCCTGTGCACCACCACGTTCTATGCTGCTTTGTGTCGTGCGATCTGTCCTGAAAAAGATGAGGTGCACGGTGCTGGTGGGAGACAGGGTCAAGGTGATTGCAGTAGATTGGACAGATGGCAGAGGTGCGTCTCTTGGAGACCTCACTGTGGGATTCAGCCATGTGACCATTTGGTTCTTATTTTTGCTCTCCATTCGGCAAGTCACTGCACAGGGTACAGTCCAATAGTGTTTATGTGAGTAATGGGTACTTTCCATTTCTTCAGAATGATAAGAATTTTAGTGGAAGAGAACACATCGTATACTGGCTTGCCTCATCAGGCACAGGAGCATTTGTGTAACTTATTGTGCGTGTGGTAGAAGTTGATGCAGAAATATCTGAGTGCAACTGGAATATCCTGAAGCACGGACGGGCATGAATAGCAAAACAAGCTGCAGTTTGGTGCTTGGTAATGCTTGTGCATCGTTGCATTATAGCAACTGCAGCAAAAGGCCAGCGACATTGATTGTGCAGTAACCTGGACTGGTGAATCCAAATGCACTATCACAAGCTCTGTGCCCTATGATAAACTATTTGACATTGCTGTGCTCAAAGTCAGCAGCACAGCCGAGGCTTTTGGTAAGCACCAGATTGTATCTGTTGCCACTGACACTCTTCACTGTGCCGACAAGATAAGGAAATTGGGACTGAATAATGACAACCTGAGTGGTTGCCACTTCTCAACTATCTCCATCATCTATGCCCACTTTTGCAAGTTCAATGCACAGTCCCTGTCCAAATTCAACTAGATGCTGAAATATGATAGTAACTCATTGTGCAAAATATTACGAATTGTATGTGCACATGTTGCTATTGATCCAGCACTGTCAGCATTCTGGAAAGTATATTATAGTCTACTTGTATCCTGTAGAACCAGCACCGACGTGTCAGTAGTCCTTCATGTGTCTGAGTGGCTGCTGCAAAGTCCCCATGGACCAGGGTCTACGAACTGGGCCAGTTGTGCAGAGGCAGGTCCTGGTGATGAAATAGTGTACTCATTCGAGTACGTCAATCAGTGTGCGCGAGCACCAACGTCAGTTGCATGGCATTGAGTTCAGTGGACTGTGTGGCGGGTGTCGTGCACATGGCTGGTGATCGTCACAGTTTGCATGGCCAGCTGTGTTGTATTTGCCTCTGTTGCACTGGGGGGCTCTTGCATCTTTTGGCAGTGTGGAAAGAGGCTGCAGTATCTTCTATGGGAGATTGTGCCAATGGTGTGATGAGCTTCACCTTTTTGTCAGGAAAATCGTCACCACTAGTGCATCTTGCTCTTGCTGCAGGGATGGTGGAAGAGGTCCTTGAGAGGGACAGTGAGCTGGCAGTTCCGGGGGTAGCCAACGTTGATCATGTCATGGTCATGGTGTCTGCAGCCGATCCACCAGTGAGTAAGCACTTGCGATTCTTGCTGGGTTTTGGCTTCCTTGTGCAACTGGACATGGCCTGCATAGATGTGCTGTGGCAGGGTGCACCTATCGACCTGCACTTGTTGGCTGTTAACTTACCTCTGACATTGCATGCGCTGCTGCAGCATGGGATTGGGCTTCAAATGTTTGAGGCAAATAGCCAGATGCTTGGTAACTGCCTGCTGCTGTGTCATAGGTGGAACTTGTTTTGGTGTGGATTTTTACTCGCTTGTGATCCCTGAACGGCATCTTCACACGTCTTTCTCAAACATCAACCAGGGCACCATTCTCTCCATCCGTGAGCGGACTTCTCTTCCTGTGTCACTTTTTACTTACTGTCCCAATTACTATTTTCTTGCAGTTTGAGCCACGCCAGGTGACACGTTTCCTGCTGGCTGCCCAGTCCACTGCACTGCCTGTGTCTCTTGTGGTGAATAAGATGGACCTCGTGCCGCTCGAAGAGCAGCAAAAGAGGATTGAGCAGATGCAGGGCTGGGGACTGGCGGCGCTGCCACTCTCTGTTACTGCTGGCTTGGGATTGGACCAAGTCGCTAGCAGCCTGAAAGGGAGGGTGTCAGTCGTCATGGGGCCTTCTGGTGCGGTGCTCCATCATGTCCATCGTCACTGCCATCTCAATGGTTCCCTTGTCCAGTTTTTGCTCTGGATGGGGGCCAATTGTTCTATCAGATGTTGTCCTTTTGAAAAGGAACCAATTGGCTAATTGTGCATTCAGGCACTTGAACTTTTCTGCGGCCATGTTGTTCTTCGAATTGGTTTTGGTGGAATAATATTGGCAGAATGGGGTTGAAACAGAATATGCCGCTGCATTGATGACCAAACCCACAACCTAGCTGCGCACAGGCAAGCGGATTTGCCATTCGTGTGAGGTGCACTGGCTGTGCTGAAGCACACTGCGACTGCCAGTTCGGCATTGTCAGCTGCAAGAAATGCAATGACGGTGTTTTAGTCATGCACTGGTGCATGCAGCACTGAGTTTCACAGGTTTTGCAGTTGTCCTGGGTATTTCATTCTATAACACAGCCTTGGGAGGGAAGTTTCCAAAACCTTTGAAAGCCATTGCATTTCAACGCTGGAGATGCAGAGTGCAATTTGTTTGCTGTCCTTTGATTGATTTGTCACGACCTGACAATAGCTCCCAATGCAGAGTTATCGATTGCAGTGGCAGCCGTATTTTTGCCTGTTCGGTTCCAAAGTGCGAATGAATGACTGCCATACCTCGTCCACACTGTGACATGATTCTGTGCCACTTATAGGAGTGGGGAAGTCGTCATTCATAAACGCCCTGCGAAGTGAGTCAGTAGTTGTGAACCACCCAACTGAGGATGTTCAGGGCAATACAAAACTTCAGCCACTCCCAGCTGTCTCTCGGAATGGCCGCAGTCATGAGAGTTGCAAAGGCCCATCACCAATTGGTTCGGGAGCACAAGGGAGTGAGAGCAAGTTGCCAGCTGATTCAGAACGGGTGCGTTTCGGAATGGTGCCATTAAACAAACATGCCATCTGAGGTGCATTACTATTCAGCTGATGATGAAGCTTGTGCGATTTCATGGCTTGTTGCGAATAGTCGATGGCAGTGTGGTGTGCAGACATCGTGTAAACTCAGTGCAGGAACAGATTTGCCGTCGAGATAATGTGTGCTTGCCCGTGGCAAGTACAGCACCTGGTATCTAGTGCCCCACAGGAGCATTCACATGGTCTTTGAGCTGAACTTGGCATAGTGACACGCTTCATTTCGCTGCCAATAGACCATCTGGACGTATTGGTAGCGTCAGTTGTTCGGAATGTGGCATCAACTACAGTGTGGCTCATAGGAGATCTGAAACAGTTTCTCGGCCAGAATGCCTCACTTTGAGGCATCCAACCCGGCGTTCGAGCCCTCACTGGAATACTGTGTGCAATTAAAAAGTGGCCATTTTCTTGCCTTTGATATCGGGCTACTGCAGCCTGCGGTGTGCTCCCTGCAACGATTCTGGACATGAAGCGGCATCATTGTCGTCTCTGGCTGTTTGACCGCTTCCATGCTTCGCCCCCCACAGGAGGACGCCGACCTCCCACATCCCTGGAAGCTGCAGGCCGTTCAAGAGGTGTCTGCCATCGGCCGAGGGAAGCACACAACCCGGCATGTGTCACTGTTAGAAGTCCCTGGGGGTGGCCTCCTCGCGGATACGCCTGGTGGGTTTTGCCAGTCCTGTGTGGTCGACCGCTGCCCTTTTCCTGTTCCGTTATTCTCATCGAATGAACTCTGTAGTTGGTGCTTGCTCTTATTGAAGAGAAACTTCTTGGCATCATCGTTCATGCACTGGAACAGCGCCGCGTTGCGGTGCACAGTTTGGGGCTGACAGCCCGGAGACATAGTCCCAGCGTACTTTAGTCAAGAACCCCTTACTCTCTTAAACTGGGCAAGAGGAAAATACACTCTTTCAGGAAAGGTTGCTGCCTGCGCAGTACTTCTGGATTACTTCTGAAGTATTTCATTGTTCCAATATTTTGCCGTCTTTCTGCTTGAATATCGACAATTTCCTGGAGATATGCTGGCGATGACAGCTGCACTGCGTCCACAGGCTTCAACCTGCCCGATTTGTCCTCCATCAGCCTGCAATCCCTGCCGGAAATGTTTCCCGAAGTGGCCGCCCGCCAGAGCGGCGGCCCCTGCCGCTTCAGCAGCTGCCAGCACCTCAGCGAGCCGGGATGCAGGGTGCGGGGCGACTGGGAGAGGTACCCCATCTATGTGGAGCTGCATGGCGAGGTGAAACGGAGGGAGGAGTACGAGCGGCGCACGCTGCAGCTTGGAAAGAAGCAGCGGGAAGGGAATTTCAAGGTGAAGATCGGGAAGGGGGGCCAGCAGGAGAAGGAGGCACTGTTGGAGATGAAGAAGCACCGGAGGCGGTCGAGGAGGCTGGTGGGTGAAAGGAGGCCTGCGGCTGTTTTGGTCCTGGGCTTGACCTTCAGAGGCGCATGCTGAGGCCTGGGGCACAGCGGGTCCCAATCCAGAATGGAGCCCAACCCTGCGCCTAAGCGGATAAGAATGTGCTGTCGCTCGTTTAGCGATGCGGTGGGTAACAGATGCGCGGGGTTGATTCTATCCACGAAATGGCGCCGTGGCGGGTGCCTCCACCTCCTCCACAATGTCCAGGAAACAATTGCCTAGAGTTTTCGCGCTCCGACCTGAGTGCATGAAGTTCGTTGTCACAGGGACATCAAGACCTGCAACGGTTAGTATTAGAGGAACAGGATATGGAGGAGGATAAAGACGACGATGATCATGGCGCAGACGACTTGCCGGCTGCCCTTTCTTGACGTACAGGAGGTGTGACATCGGACAACTACAGTTCTGAATGTAGGTTTGACAATGGAACATCAACCGGAGTGCGGTGCCCCCAGTGCTCGACCATGGATGGCTGTTGGCGCCGAGCATCCACTTCGTCTCTCAAGATTCCATGAGCACAGCATTGTTTCTTTCGAGATGCCATGAAAATTGCATGTATCAAGGGGATGTGTAGTTTGTGCCATGTGCGATTCCCTAGCTCGTTGTGGTTCCTGTCCAAGGGCGCGTCAGGGATGGCCTCAACGTGTATCTTGTGAAATAGTGAGCTGTATTAAGCATGTATTACGTACGTTTGTGTAGTGCTGGATTTAATTTGTGCAGTACTGGATTGAGCACCATTCGCAAGAGTGAACCAAGGTGACTGGATAGTTGAAGTATGATAAAGGCTGACAAGGTGTGGTGCAGGTGTGTGCAGCACAATGCAAGGGCACGCAATCACACGTCCAGATCCGCATCGCATCTGGTCTGCCTTCTGATCCGCGTCTGACGTGCACAGCACAGCTCGTTTCAGCAACTCTCGCCACTGAAAGAAAACGCGCTGCTGCAGGTGAAGCCATGGCCGTAGCGCATGCTGCCCCTTGCACTGATGCAGAACTGCCGATGGCCGCTGTGGCATACTTTGCAGTGCACAACTGCAAGAGTGACGTTGCCAGCAACCTGAACAGCTAGCAATCTGTTTGGGGCATCGGGTTACCTCCATCGCATCCTATGGATGAATTGGCAAGTTCCTCCCCTCTTGATACTGGATTCACCCTCCATCAGCATACTCACAATGAATATATACCCTCTTTCAGGGACATACATGACAGGATTGATATCTGGGTCCAACACATATAGGATGGCGGCATGGCGCTGCTCTGTGCTTTATCACATTGCATTGCAGCGCAGCAGGTGTCAAGCTTGGCCAGTCAACTGCATTGAAGGCGAATCAGCTACCACTGGCACATATGAATATTTCAGGAACAAGCACCAATGTGAGTGAAATTGCCGTCCATGACCAGGCAGGTGTTGGGCAATGTGTTGTAATCAAACAGGAGGCAATGTGTTGTAATCAAACAAGAGGCAATGGTCAAAGCAGAATTCAGTCAAGGGTGCCAAACCGACCCCTGGAGTTAGAGGGGGTTCCGCTAGTGCATAGGCATCTGGAAAACTACCATTTAGACGGCTGCATTCCTGTGTTGCCAGCAAGATCGCGACACCCTGGTAGCCCAGCAGAGGACCAGATTGATGGTGACAAAAATCAGTCGAACAGCAGACCCACCCCCCACCTGAGCCAAAACACGCATTGTATGCCTTTCAGGCCATGAACACTGAAGTATTCAAAGCTTGCAGCCTTCCAGGCTCCAGAAAATCAGACAGCCATGCATCATAGCTCCTCATGGACCCACGTAGGGCTTTGTCTCAAGCTTCAGATGCAAACACCAAGTGCTATGGCCACACCTGTGGGACGCTGAGACTGAATGGAGCAGCCACCCCACAACATTGGGGCTCAGGGACACACAACGATGGGCCAATTCAAAGTTTACATAGCATGCTTTGTAGTGTACACATTTTCCTGCACACCTTCCACACTTGTCTGATCTTCACAAGGCAGCAGCAGTCCCAGCACCCTTTGTAGCTTTCGACAAACGGCCTCAGCCGTCCACTGCCTGTACTCACTTCATCCCGGTCCTAATACCCAACCCCAAGCCCAGCAACCAACATCACATTCTCTTCTCCTCGAATCGTGTTTCTCTTCTCAGCTTGTCCCCAAAGGACGCCCAAAATTTGCACAGCGCTGCCGCTGCAGCAGGGTCCCCGCTTGAGGGGCCACATTATTCGCGCGAGTGCGAAGCGACTCATACAGCGTTGTATGGTACACCACCGATCAGGCCCGCCAAAAGTGTACATTCGAGCACCCCGTCAATCGCAGGGGCCCGCACCATCCTAAGCCCTGCGGCCAGTGAGCAGCCGCACGCACATCTGCACTGGGTTGCCGCTGTTCTGGGCCTCCTTCTTAGGGGCCGCGCCATCGCCCGCCGAAGGGGTCCTCCCGGCCTGCCGGGCACGGTGGCGCTGCGGGTCCCGCGGGGAGAAGTGCTGGCAGGCCATGAGGGTTAGATCGCAATGGTCCATCCTGCGCATCCGTGAGCAGCGAGAGGTCAGCCAGAGCAACAGCGAGGGGCGCAGGCGCGCGTCTTGAGAGTGCACTTCATTTGACAGAGCCAGCCGCCCTCCTGGGAGAGGAATCTGGACCACAATGAGCCGCCTCCACACTTCGGCAGGGGAATACGGTGCAGAAAGAACCGCATTCTTGCGGAACGCGGCAGAAACACGCGCGGACAAGGCGATGCTGAGAGAAAACAAAACTAAGGGCGCAGTTCGGGCTTCAGGGAGCCAGGAGGGCACGGCCGGGGCCGCACCCATAGCTTCAAAGCAAAGCGGCAACCTGCGTGGGGACGGGCAGTGTGGGCCACGCGCGAAAAAACTGAGTCCTGCCAGGAAGCCACGCGCCAAACGCGTGGGACCACGATCTTCCCAGTGTCATTGCAGCACCGAGCGCCCTCCAAGCGCGTTGAGTCGAGGCGGCGGGCTAACTGAAACCAACGGTGCCTTTCGCCGGCGGCGCGAACGCTGCACAGCCACCGAGTCGACCATGCCCCAGAAAGCCTGCGCCACTGGCCCGGCAAGAGGAGCAGCGCGGCAGCCAGAGGCGCCCGGACCAACGGCTTCGGGCCCAAGGCCCGGCCGGCTGCCACCTGGGTCGCCCCTCTTCCCACGCAGGCCCAGGCCGAAAATTTGTTCCGACGAAAACGCCCTGCTGGCCACCGACTCGAGGCCCACCTGGATGGCAGCGGGCGTGCTCTGTGGCTCCGCTCGTCCACTGGCCAGCCGCGGCTCTGCCAGAACTGGGCGCACGCCTCCTCGCACTCACTGTCGAGTCCAAAAGCCGCGCTCCCGGCTGTGCGGTGGCCCTCACTCTTCTGCTGGACCTGGCCACGATTCGCACGCTTCAGCAGTACAGGAATCTGGAATCTGGGCGGGAACGATGGTTTGCCCCCTTTGTGGCACGATCGTGTGATTACTATTTTTTTTTGCGACAGTGGATTGTTCTTTTCTGCGACAGTGCCAAACTACTCTTTTTTGCGACAGTGGATTGTTCCTTTTTGCGACAGTGCCCGGGACTGTTCGTTTTTGCGACAGTGGCCCAGTTGTTCTTTTTTGCGACAGTGGCCATGACTAACGTGTGACCTGCTTGCCGCGGCATACGTTAAATCCGACCCGACCTTTGCTATTAACATTGGCGGCGCCCGCATAATGGCCCGATACGGTGGGCACGTGTACGGTGGCCTGCCAGGCCCACGCGCAAACGCCTAAGTCGCTGGTGCCCAACGTCCAGTGCCACCTGGGGGAGCTCCCCGTGGGGCAGAAACCGCCGTCGCGCGCCCCGGCCCAGAAACGAGTCCCCAGAGGCCTCCGCCGACATGCTGCGTTGCGCAAGATCGCCGCAAGCTGGCCGCCGACAAGGCCACGGACGGACAAACTGGCGCGAAGGGCATGCGCAGAGGCCGGGCAGCCGTGGCATCGAACACGCCACTCCCCCGGGATGGCACTCCACCCCACCCGCTGATCAGTAGCCCCACAGGCGGTGGTTCACAGCCTTTGGGACTGAAGATCGACGGGTGGGGTGGGGGTTGGATTGGAGGGGTGAACAGGCCGCGGATGGACTACCGACAAGGTGCCGGCTGGACAACTAGCAAAGGGTCATGCCCTGGGGCCGGGCAGCTGCGCCATAAACACGCCACTTCCCCCCCGTTTTGGGGTCGAAGATCGCTTGGGGAGGGGCTGGGGGTTGGATCGGCATTCGCCACCGAATGGCCGGAAGGGTCAGCGACTCAATACAAACGACTACGGGTGTGACACAGGCAGCACGCCCTGCCTTGCACCCGCCTACGCACTGCCCCACACGGCTTGCTCGCCCGGGGCTCGCCCACCCCACTCCTCCGTCCCTTCCCCTCCCCCTCCGGGCTCGTCCCCCTGCATCCCCTATCCCTCGCTCCCCCTCCCCCAATTTTTTCCCCAGCCCTTCGGTTTGCCGCATTGCCCACCAGGGGCCTTAAATTGACCACTGGCGCCGCCCCCCGGGGCACGTTTTGCCCCTCCCCCAGCTGGTGGTACGCGATCCCGCGTGCTGCATGGGGTGAGCGAAACGGCGTTTGCGGGACAGGGCCGGCATCACTGCCGAGCAGCGCGGTGCTCTTTGGCGTGTCGAGCGAGCACCGCCAGGGCAATTCGCGAAAGTGCGGGGGATGGGTGTGACTTGGGGGGAAGGGAGGGGGGGGGGCAAAACGCTAGTGTGTTGTGAAGGGATCCCTGGAGGGGTGGAGGTCGCCGTGCGCATGGGTCGATCGACGTACGAGGAAGCCGTTGCCGGGTCGCCGGGAGCGCCGGCGCGGCTCCTGGTGATCGAGCTTGCCCGGCTGTGAAGGCCCGGTGCCCGCCTTTCGCGCATGGGCTTTATGGTAGATTGCTCGCGTCCGCCATTGGGTCCTTGGGGGGCCTCGGCGCTGTTGGTTGTTCCTTGCCACAGCCGTCGGAGACCAATGGGGCATTCGGTGCGAGTGATACCCGGGCCGGCCCCACGCCCCCCAGCGCCAGCCCCACGTCCCCCAGTTTGCCGCTCGACGTTGGGCGCCCAACGACTTCAAAAGTTTGCGCGTGGGCCTGGCAGGCGACCGTACACCCGCCCACCATATCGGGCCATTATGCGGGCGCCGCCTATGTTAATAGCAAAGGTCGGGTCGGATTTAACGTATGCCTTTTGCCGCCCCGTGGGGCATGCCGACGACTGAAACGGGGGCCGGCCGGGCAGCAACAAGTCCGCCAAGACGTGTCTTATAGCTGCCTTTCAGGTTGCTGGCATGACAGAGAACCCCGCCACTGAACGCCATCGAAGAGAGGGGGGGCCGATGGAGGAGGGCGGGGGAGGGAG